TACAAATTATATCTGTGGTCCGATTCTGAAATTATATTAGCATGGTTAGAAAAACCACCACATGCATGGAAGACGTATATTTCCAATCGAACGTCTCAAATCCTTGACCTAGTGGGATCAGCCACTTATCGACATGTAGCCAGTGCTGACAACCCTGCTGATCTAGGTACAAAAGGATGCAAACCCCTGCATCATGCCACCACCACCCTCTGGTAGAATGGCCCCCGTTGGTTAACAGAATCTTCCGATTCTTGGCCAAAATCGCCCATACGCAATATAATTGCCCCAGAAAGTCGAAAAATCGACTCTTTTCACACAACAGTGGATGATACCGACATCCTCGAACGATTTTCATCGTTCCCCTGAGCCCTCAGAGTACTTGCTTACATGTTTAAATTTATGGAGCAACTAAAAACCAAAGTCAAGGGATCAGCAAACTCCCAATGCGATACAGTGACGAACCTAACTTTACAACAGGTAAAGGTCGCTCTTATCGCATATACTCAAGCGCGCTACTTCAGCCGCGATATATCACTTTTGAGAGAATCAAAACCTATTCATAAGAGAAGTGCACTCTTAGTTCTAAACCCATTCCTCGACACGAAAGGTATTCTTCGTGTGAAGGGTCGGCTCGCCAATTCAAGCCTAACGTATAACGAACGCCATCCCATAATTGTACCAGACAAGTCTCGACTTGCCACATTGCTCATCGGTTATATCCACATATTACTGCTTCATGCCGAATATCGTCCCATGCAACATATTCTCCGCCATGAATTTTACATTCCCCGACTTAAGCCCCAAATAAAGAAGTACATTTTATTGTGCAAAATCTGCACCACAGGTGTCGATTATGCTGGGCCTTTTCAAATAAAGGCGTCCATGTTAAGGTCTCCCACTCTGATGAAATGCTATGTGGCTGTCTTTGTCTGTTTTACGACAAAAGCAGTGCACCTTGAGCTTTGGACAAATCTGACAAAGGAGGCTTTTCTTGGGGCATTTGCTCGCTTCGCTGGTCGACGCGGCTTTCCATTCTTTATTAAACAAGTCTCACCTGAGATTGTACAAAAGAACGCGCCTCAGGGCATTAATTGGCAATTCATCCCCCAAGCGCTCCTCATATGGGTGGTTTATGGGAATCAGCTGTAAAAAGCTTCAAATCCCACTTAAAAAAAGTAGCTGGAAATTATTTTTATGAAGAATTCACTACATTATTAATTCGAATTTAAGCCGTTCTCATATCACGGCCTCTCACCACCCTCTCGCAAGAAACCTCAGGTTTCACAGCCTTAACTCCAGGGCACTTTCTCAAAGGAACACCCATTCTGGCCATACCTGAGCCAGGCATGGAGTCGCTATCTTTATTAAATCGCTGTGAAAGAATTAAAATTCTCCATCACGATTTCAGCCGCCGATGGAAAGAAGAGTATATAAAGGATCTCCATAAGAGATATCGTTGGAAGACTCCTGAACAAGCGCCAAAACTTGAAGATTGTGTCATTATTCATGATGATTGTCTACGCCCTACCGAATGGCGGCTTGGTCGCATAGAAAAGCTACATTCCGGCTCCGACAGTCATATAGGAGTAGTTGATCTCCGTACCCAAAGCGGACCGCTAACCAGACCGCTCGTGAAGCTGTGCTTTCTACCAACCGCAGATATAAACGATAAAGCAAATGATAAACGATAACCCGATAATAATCCCGAAAACGTAATTCATAACCGTTTCAATAAATCGACAAAAAAACGAAAAGACAATAACTCGTAAACTCGACCACAATCCGTATATATAAGTATATAAACTAACGAGTCGATCAATATGACGATCCCTTCATGCTACCAAGAGTTGTAGAATGCCTATTTCTATTTCTATCTTACCACTTTATAAAGCCCAATAATCCTTTCTACACAGATAAATATGGACGCAGATGCACCTATGCCAACGCCTGCTATTCGGTCGGCTATCAATGTGCCGCGATTTGGGGTTACTCCAACGCCGCGATCTGCCGCCGTTCTCACCGACTACAACACTGCAAAATCTTTAGAGGCACGCAACCGATGCAACGCCATCAAATTACCCAGTCTCATGGGTATTGTTTCAATTGCTTGACAGCGGCACAAAACACTCAGGAGGGCTCGTGCGTCAAATATGCGGTAGGCTGCATCATACGTTGCTCCATCGCAACCCGAGATGTGACATCGGTCGGCCACACACCAATACATACAACTTCACACAACTCACCGAGGGATACCAACACACTCTACCCAACCAACAAAAGGGATCGACAACGGGATACGGCCCCTTCTTTTCGATCGATCGCCGTCGCATGTGGATCAGCGGAGTCTTTTTCTGCGCCACCCCGGAACTCTACAACGTTTTTACACGTTTTTCAAATCATTTTCTAATTTCAAAGACTTTATAATAAAAATGCGGATTTGAAAATCCTTTATATACATTTTTCATATCATATTTATTCTTTTTATTCGGGAGCAAGTGAAAGAACTTAGCAACAAGCTAAATACATTTGTTGCTTCTAATTTTGTTGTCCTCCCCAAACTATTTAGTGAGAAAATTAACGGGCAGACAATATATTGTACGTGTTTATATATTTTGAATTTTTCTCAACCATATTTTTCACCAATATCTTTAGTTTAAATGTTTTTAAACACGATTTGCATTCAACAAAAGCGCCACAGTTTTAACGATGGCAATATGACAAACAATTATGGCACTTGAAGCGTCAGCACTTTCTCTCGGGTGTCGAGCACTTGCTCTCTTTAATAATTGAGCCATACTCAACTCTACAAACTCACTAGCACGGGATGTCAGTTACAACTGTAAATGCCAAAATCGATCACACGACAAAGGGAACAAAAAAAGCAAAGGAAATTTGCATGTGGGTAATTGCAGACTACGATTAGAGAATCAGACAGCCAGACAGACCGGAAAGTAGCAATACACATACAGTTAAATAGAGCAAGCAAGTGTAAATTATACAATAGATTATTAGATTGAGCTCATTATTTTGTCCACAATTTAAGCTTTGCTCTACTCAAAACTTTCTGTACATTTCTTAAATGGTCCTTTATTGATCATCATTTGATTTAATCTAGCAAAATGTTGTGCGGGGTTATGAATGGATCAAATAATATCTTGCAGAATGTATTTACGAAAATGAAGTCGGATTATGAAGACTACGACTACTATACGGATTTTATAAACAAGGAAATATATTTTATCCGCGAAGATTACCTTTATTATATAATATATTATATAAAGTTTCCGAAAACTATTTTGCACAATTACTAATTGTTTGGTTATACTCATTGCATGGTCGGTTTTCTGTCAACGCTGCAATATTAAATACAGTAAACTGCCAATTGTCAATGCGCCTAATTGGAGGCAAAATGTATCCCATTCAAAAAGTTTTTTCATAACAATACCATAGTTCAACTGATTTATTCTTACGATATGTTTACGCACATATTCGAGTAAAATCGAACTACATATCGTAATTTTTCTGCTCTTTTCATTTCCTAAGGCTAATTTTTGGTAACTATTGTACTCCTTGCCGGGTTAGATGGTAACTCGGTGACAACTGACAGCTTTGACTATTGCAGCATAACCGCACTTCCAAAACAATGCATCAGGCAATGAACAGTTAAGGCGCTTAGTCGTACTTGAACACTGACCGCCAGCCTTAAGCAATGAGTCACTATGCTCGTCGATTGGGTTTAAGCATATGTACCCGCTTCGTTGTTACACTTTATTTATTGCTACTCTCTGGCATTTACTTAAACTTTCCCCATTATTGCCAACAAACTTTTATATGTTAATCTTTGATATAAAGAATGAGAATTTTGGTTGCTCTGAATAAGAATAGCTTTTATAAACAAATATTTTTGTTGAATCGTGCTATAGAAAGAAACCGTAATAACTTCTTGTCTGTGTGAGTAATCGAGTCACTTTTTATTTATTTTAATAAAATAAATGCTTAAGATACCGAAAACAGGGTTTGAATAATGCATCGGTACCATTCTTTGCAGTTCGTCCTTTCCGTCCAAAGGGAATTCAGACGGGTTTTTGGTGCCACCCCCCCGAGAGAAATGGACCATTATGAGGTTTGTTAACATGTTTGACGAATCTGGAAGGTATTGCAAGAAGATCGTACCATCAGGATCCGTATGTTCGTGTTCAAGAAACTATCGCGGCTGTTGCATCGTCAATTCAGGCAAATCCAAGAGTTTCCACTCACAACTTATCGGCGCAACTTGGAGCTAGTAGACGGTTATTACAACAAACAATTCATAATGATATTCTGAATCCGTACAAACTTCAAATAATAAGCCGGTTAAACCAAAAAATTATTGAAATGGCCGAAGAAGACAATAACTTGATAAATTGCCTGTTTATATCTGATGAGACCCATTTTGATCTAAACGGAAATGTAAACAAGCAAACCTCGACGTATGTATATGGAGTGAATCAAACCCAGAAATAATCTACGAGACGGAATTTCACCCAGAATGAGTCACTGTGTGGTGCGCAGTTTTATCAAAGTGTATTGTGGGGCCATACTTATTTGAAGGAAACGGTGTAACGTTAACTAGACTTTTTTTATGGGTTAATGTCAAGCAAGAGGTGTGCAAAACAAAAGAGGAGCATGGATGTCACTTTTGGTCCATAGTTTTTAAAAATAACTAACTATATAAATAAGATAAAATTTTCAATACAATAAAAAATACAATAAAATTGTTGTTTGAAGCACGATTCGTGAGCCACCCTGTATAAAACTATGAGCTCAAGATCACGATTATTACATTATGTGCTTAAAAAACTAACTGGAATTTTTGTTTTTTAAAATAATATTTATCCAATTCTCTATTTTAATGTTTTCGCCTTCAAAATAGTCCCCATTTGATATTATGCACTAATGCCAGTGCTTCTTCCAAACGTCGAAATACTTCTAAAACTTAATAAACTTTTTTTTTGTTTCAGCTTTTCCATGTAAGTCCGTGATGACTTCCAATTTACTCTGTGGTACAAATTTAGCTGGGCAACTGGTTTCAAAAGCAGTAAATTTATCTGGCGCCTTGTCATCTAATCATAATTCACGTCTTTATGTGGGTTGCTTGGTATATCTCACACAAGGATTGCACATATTGCTCAGGACGCACGAACGTTGGCAGGTGATTCGCTATTTAATATGTAGAGTGCAGCCACCAAAGTAGTTCCACATTGACGCACCAGGATATCAAATGGGGACAACTTCCGATAATGTAACTCTTTAAGTATCTGGTAGAATGATTCAAGGAAGGTGATAGCAAGCTAGATCACGTCGCTGTACAGCTCAAAATGTGCTTTATGCGGTCTAAACAGATGTAACAAAGGAAGAAGCATTTATAACACTATCTGAAAAAACACTTACTTTCCATTCGCGATTGGTCAGCACTTAAGTTCTTAATACAACTGTTACTTTGCGACGAATTCGTCTGAATTCAATCACAAGAAGATGAAGACAAACATTTCAGAATTGAAAAGCAGTAGTAGTTATTAAAAACCATTCGTTTTAAGAGGAATTAAAAGAGATATCTGTGAGGTCTCTTAAATTCTTAGAACGTGCTTTGGAACGGAATATTTAATTCATTTTATTTCCTATAGGAGTAGGCAAAGTGTTCGCTGAAATAATATGTCAACTATAAATCATACAATGTGAGTTTTACAGCCAGAGCTTAGTTTAGAGCGCTTATTTATTATACAATAACTTGGTTAGTTTTAATTTTAAATCCAGACAAGCATTTTGAATAGAAAATATGTATTTATTTTTATACTGAATTGTTATTAGAAATAAAAATTGCAATAAAAAATTCAAAAATATTTGAGTTTCAATTAACTAGTAACTAGTAACAATTAATTAGAAATAAACCAAATTACACTAAGGTCTAACATTTAAAATCTGGCAGATTAACACCCAGAAAGAAATGTTAAAGACCTTATATAATTATATGTGGATATAGATGACCAGCGGGATGACCTGTGTCGATTTAGACATATCCGTCTGTCTGCCCATATCTCTGTCCATTCGGCAGCATTTAGCTGCCATTCAAACTGAACCATCAAAATCAAGTTCTTGTACAGCAAATCTTTTTATTTTTGAAGAGCGCAGCCGAAGTTAACATTTTTTCTTGTTTAGTTTACGTGTAAACATTGTTTGGAACTTATTTGCATGAATTACAGTTTATATAAATTCTTGCGATAAACACTCTTACTGGGTTTTTTTGCCCCACTGAGATTGCATGCCGAACATATTTACATCTTTGCTTTAAAGATGTCAAAGCTACACAGCATGAAAAGCTTACGAAATAATAGACATAAAAGTTAAACCTAAAAAGCTCGAGTAGCTTTCCAAATATTATATATTTAGTTATTTGCTTAATAAGTTATCCAAACAGAACTTTTAAAATAGAGTCCAATGGCAGTAAAACTATTTAAGTTGCCTTAGAACTTTTAACTTGTATCCGTTTTTGAATAACATTTTGTTTTATTTACCATGAACTTAGCTTACTTTATGAAAATGAAAGTAAAGCAACAAATAACAAGGAATTATGTTATCTTATGAAGATCAACAATTATTGAATCTAACTTGCAAGAAAAGTTGCAAAAATATCTATTTATCAAATTAGTTTCAGTTCTGTCGTATGCTCACATAACTGCGTTAGTCTTGGAATTGTTTCTCAAATGGAAATTATTTGATTTAATATGTAGAACAGTTCAACAATTGAAGGAAGCAACGATTGAAGGAGCGGCTCATTAAAATCGGTCATTGAAAAACGATTTAAGGATAAAAAAGCTTTACTTTAACTTTTTCGATAACCCTTCAAACGACCGGTGAAGCGGCTGTGTTATGTCGTGCATGAACTCATGCACTTTGGATAAAGTTCGAAGGGCGGGAATTTTATTTCAAAACAATTGCTGTGAAATAAAGAATTCGCCCACCAGGGGTGCCATAGACACCCGCAAACTTATTTTTAATCAAAATATTGCAATTTTAGCAAAGGAATAGAAGAAAAAACTCGTACTCAGTATATTAAGACTGTAATAGGCAAGGTCGGATGAAAAATAATAGAGTATTGATTTCCTATAGCGATTTTTAATATCAGAAAAATTCATGAATTTTAATTTAACCTAGCCTGTAGTTTACGTTTAAATTTTATATATCTTACTTCGACTGGAAGGAGTAAGATTAAAAAGAGTAAAAACTTTTTCAGAAAGATTTCCATCCTTGCCAAGGTACTTGACGGTATTCACATACTAACAATATTTAGCATAATAATGTAAACGCTTGTACTATTTCAGCCATGGTATAAGAACTCATTTGGCGTGAAAATGCACTATCACTTTTATTCACACGTTACATGCTAAACAATACATTTTTTACACCTTGAATAGGGTATATGAAGTTTGCACGATGTTTGGAACACCCAAAAGGAATAGTCAGATAACATATAAAGTATATACAAGTATATATATCTGTCTGTCCGTCCGTCCGTCTATCCGTGTGTCTTTGTGTAAACTAGTCCGTCAGTTTTTGAGACATCGATCTGAAAATTTTCACAATTCTTTTTTCCCAAAGAAACTGTTTATTTGTCGGAACCGCAGATATCAGACTTCTATGGCAAATAGCTGCCCTAGAAACAAAACGATGGGAATTAAGTGTTTGTATGGAGACCTTTTTTGTTTTACGAGATATCTTCAAAAAATTTGGCATGATCGCTTTTAACACAAGATTTTTTTCACTTCCTTATCCGTCGCTTTTGTTTCCAAATTGGTGCGTGGCTCACGTAAGTACATTTATGCTAAATGTTTAAGTACACGGAAATGGGTATAAATAGTTGTTAGCTGAGAGATGTGGTTGACTGAAAGGGCTTTGTTATGAAGCACTTGTGCTTAATTCGGAATTAGTATGGACGATATACAGGGTGACGAACGAATTGTAATACAAAAATCAACCGTAATAACTTTTAGTTTTTTTAATTCGTGACATTTTTTTATCAAAAATTATTCATCGTAAATGACCTCCATGCTAAGCCACGCATAGGCGAAACCTAATTTGAAAATTTTTCATTGCGACCTGAAGGATTCAGATTGCCTCAGTTAGATTCGGAGGAAGTCGGGATTGCCTCAATTATTATTTTAATGGAATGCTTCAATGCAGTAAAAAGAACTCTGGTGCAGCCAGGTCAGGTGACCTTGGGGGCCAGCGGAAAGTGAAATTTTTTGATATTTATTTCATTTTTTATTTATTTATTAAAAAGAGAAATATTTTAAAATATTTATTATACTTATTGGGTTGGCAACTAAGTAATTGCGGGTTTCACTCATAGATGGCTTCAGTTGAATTTTTAGGTTTGCTGGCGTAGTCCAAATGTAAAACACAAAATTTATTATTTGATAGTTGGCAGTTCAGCTGTCAATCAGTAAAAAAAAGTTTTTTGATCGGTTGCGTAGTTTTTGTTTGGCGTTCGTTGAAAAATGGAAGATCAAAAGGAACATTTTCGTCATATTTTGCGTTTTTATTTTCGCAAAGGGAAAAACGTATCGCAAGCTCTCAAAAAGTTATGTGTGTCAAAATTGGTTTGCCAAACTTCGTTCTGGTGATTTTTTACTCAAAGATGAAACGCTGTGGTTGTCCAGTTGAAGTTGATGACGACCTAATCAAAGCAGTAATCGATTCGTAACGTCACAGTACAACACGTGAGATTGCAGAGAAGCTTCAGGTATCATTTACATGCATTGAAAATCACTTAAAACTATGTTCAAAAACTCGATACATGGGTTCCTTACGAACTGAAAGAAACGCATTTAACGCAACGCATTAACAGCTGCGATTTGCTAAAGAAACGTAATGAAAAGTATCCATTTTCAAAACGAATGATAACTGGCGATGAAAAATGGGTTGTTTACAACAATATCGAGCGGAAAAGATCGTGGAGCAGGCAGGTCAAATAACATCAAAAGCTGGTATTCATCAAAAGAAGGTTTTGTTATCAGTTTGGTGGGATTATAACGGAATTATTTACTTTGAACTCTTACCACCCAACCGAACGATCAATTCTGTTGTCTACATTGAACAAGTAACGAAATTAAACAATGCAGTTGAAGAAAAGCGGCCCGAATTGATAAATCGAAAAGGTGTTGTATTCCATCATGACAATGCAAGGTCACACACATCTTTGGTCACTCGACAAAAATTATTGGAGCTTGGTTGGGTTGTTTTGCCACATCTACCATATAGTCCTGACCTTGCACCATCGGATTACTTTTTGTTTCGATCTTTACAAAACTCCTTGAATGGTAAAAATTTCAATAATGATGATGATGTCAAATCGTACTTGATTCAGTTTTTTGCTAATAAAAACCAGAAGTTTTATGAACGTGGGTTTATGATGCTGCCTGAAAGATGGCAAAAGGTGATTGATCAAAATGGGCAATACATTAGAGAATAAAGTTATTTACAATAGTTCCATTAAAAAATTATCTTGATTTAAAAAAAAAAATCCGTAATTACTTAGTTGTCAACCCAATATTTATATATATAATATAAAGCACTGGCTGCTAGGGCAGTCGGCAGAATTTAAATTTACAAATTAAAATATTCCAATTATATTACTTAGGTCTAAGGCAAATTTAAGATCATTTTGTTCTATATTTATTTGTATAATATATTAGATATTTAATTTGCAGATTTGAAAGTTTTTTACAAAACGATTAATGTTATTAGTCATCTGTTGTGATTTGTTGGTGCCAAATATCGAGATTGTGTGTTGTTGTAAGAGTGGGCAGCTATCGAGGATATGAGGTATTGTAAAGTCTTCCGAACCACAAGAAGTACATATGGGTTTGTTTGCACCATTCAAGAGGTGTCCATGTGTATCCAATCCTAATGCGCATGAATATTTTTCTTTTTATAATAGCCTTAACAGCAGATGCTTCAGAATTTACGTTTTCTCTAGAGCGCCTAGTAGTTGGATAAACTTGCTGAAATATTACTGAAATATTTCGGTTAGAAATTTGGTCGTTGGCTTAACATTATAATATTTAGAGACGAAAAAGGATGTGATTATAGTAAAGTGATCGATAGTGAGAAGGTCATCGATTGTATGAGATGAGAGTTTGGGTGCTAAGGTGAATGAGGCAAAGATAATGTCGGGATGTGTAAAGGTACTACATGTAAAGAAGTGAGTTGCTTTACCGTCGTTTTTCACGATGAGATCATTTGAAAGGCCTATATCTTCCATAATTTCGCCTCTCTTGTTCACTGTCGGTGATCCTCACAGTGGACCCCATATGATATAGAATAAGAGATCATTGCGTGGGTTTGAGAGTCATCGATAGATGCTGTTGTTGTACTTGTTATATTTCCTTTGGCGTAATTGTTTTCGTTTATTTATTTTCTTATGTTCCGTTATAGTTTGTGGTAACTTTGTTGGGTATAAAGGTGCTTAAATGAGATAAGCTACCCCTACATATACACATCACTCTACTCGGATAAAACTGAAACACACCACACCGCACTCAACATTTGAGAACACTACGCATGATGACAGCACCACACTCAACCTCTCCTCATTCGCTAACACACATTCGCTTATCGTCTACGGGCCTGAGCGCCACCTCACCTCTTTCAATTATACCACGTCGTTCAACATTGCCCCGGACTTTAGCTACTGCGAATTCCATTCGGACAGTTACTCGATCATTCTATATTTAACAATTTATAATTACCTGCTTATTTAAATAATACCTGATTGTTTTAATCTTTCTCACGAAATAAGTGACATTCATTTAACT